CTCTGATTGAGACAGAATTGGTCTCTGATTGAGACAGAATTGGTTTCTGATTGAGACAGAGTTGGTCTCTGATTGAGACAGAGTTGGTCTCTGATTGATACATCATTGGTCTCTGATTGAGACAGAATTGGTCTCTGATTGAGACATAATTGGTCTCTAATTTAGACAGTATTGGTCTATGGAGGACAGTAAAATTAGTCTCTCATAGAGACCAAAATTGGTCTCTCAGAGGAACCAAAAATGGATACACAAATTGGACTCAGAGGCCAAAACTGTTCCCACGTTGATTCAATAATTTGTCTCAGTGGGGACCCGAGTCAAAATTGGTCCTTAATAGAGCTCACAGTTGATATCCAATAGAGACTACAATTGGTCTCTGGTGGATAGGAAATAAGTTTCTCGAAATATGTCGCTCGTAGAGATTAAAATTGGTCTTAATGGACCAAAATTGATCTCTCCAATAAACCAAAAATGTTCTCTCAGAGGGAACAAGTAGGACCCGAGTAGGACAGATATTGTTCTCCACTAGAGACCACAATTGGTCTCTGATCGAGACATAACTGACCTATCGATAGCACAGAAATTAGGGGACCAAACTAGTCTCTGATTGATACAGAATTGGTCTCTCGAGAACACTAAAATTGGTCTCTCGTAGAGATAAAAATTGATCTCTCAGAGAGGCTAAAATGTGTCGCTCATACTGACTAAGATTGGTCTGTCAGAGGAACCAAAAATGGTCTCTCGGAGGAACAAAAAATGGTTTCCTTGATGGAACCGAAAATGGTCTCTCAGGGGACCAAAATTGGTTTCTCCGAGGGACCGAAACTGGCCTCTCGTGCATACAAAAAATAGAGCCCACAGTTGATCTCCAATAGAGACCACAAGGGGTCTCTGATGGATAGAGAATTAGTTTCTCAAGAAACCAAAGGAAGTCTCTCTTTGAGTACAACATTAGTCTCTCTCATGGAGACTAAAATATATCGCTCGTAGGGATCAAAATTGGTCTTTTAAATGGACTAAAATTGATCTCTCAAATAGACGAAAACTTTTCTCTCAGAGGGACACCAAGTAGGACCCAAGTAGGAATCAAATTGTTCTCCAATAGGGTCCACAATTGGCCTCTGATCGAGACGGAATTGATCTCTGAATAGCACTAAAATTAGGGAACCAAAACTAGAGTCTGATTGAGACAGAATTGGTCTCTGGAGCACACTAAAATTAGTCTCTCGTAAAGACCAAGAGGAACCAAAATATGTTGCTCATACAGACCAATATTGGTCTCTCAGAGGAACGAAAAATGGTCTCTCGGAGGAACCAAAAATAGTCTTTCAGGGGACCAAAATTGGTCTCTACGAGGGACCGAAACTGGCCTCTCGGGCATACAAAAAATAGAGACCACAATTGATCTCCAATAGAGACCACAAGTTGTATCTGATGAATAGAGAATTAGTTTCTCGAGAAAACTAAAGTAAGTATCTCTTTGAGTACAGATTTGGTCTCACCAAAACTTTTCTCTCAGAGGGACCAAGAAGGACCGAAATTGTTCTTCAATAGAGTCCACAATTGGCCTCTAATCGAGACGGAATTAATATCTGAATAGCACTAAAATTATGGAAGCAAAACTAGAGTCTGATTGAGACAGAATTGGTCTCTGGAGCACACTAAAATTAGTCTCTCGTAAAGACCAAAATCGGTCTCTCAGAGGAACCAAAATGTGTTGCTCATGCAGACCAAAATTGGTCTCTCAGTGGAACCGAAAATGGTCTCTCAGGGAGCCAAAATTGGTCTCTCAGAGGAACCAAATCTGGCCTCTCGTGGATCCAAAAATTGTACTCAGAGAGACTAAAACTGTTCCCCCGTTGATTCAAAAATATTTCTAATATCCAATAGAGCCCACAGTTGATCTCCAATAGAGACCACAATTGGTCTCTGGTGGAGAGAGAATTGGTTTCTTGAGAACAGTAAAATAAGTCTCTCTTTGAGAACAAAATTGGTCTCTCAGTGGAACCAAAAATAGTCTCCAATAGAGCCCACAGTTGATCTCCAATAGAGATCACAATTGATATCTGATGGAGAGAGAATTGGTTTCTTGAAAACATTAAAATAAGTCTCTCTTTATTAAAAAAAATTTGGTCTCTCAGTGGAACCGGAAATGGTCTCTCAGGGAGACCAAAATTGGTCTCTCAGAAGAACCAAATGTGGTCAATCGTGGATCCAAAAATTGTGCTCAGAAAGACCAAAACAGTTCCCCCGTTGATTCAAAAAAAATCTCAGTGGGGACCTGAGTAGAACCAAAAATAGTCTCCAATAGAGCCCACAATTGATCTCCAATAGAGATCACAATTGATATCTGATGGAGAGAGAATTGGTTTCTTGAGAACACTAAAATAAGTCTCTCTTTGAGAACAAAATTGGTCTCTCAGAGGAACCGAAAATGGTCTCTCAGGCGGACCAAAATTGGTCTCTCAAAGGAACCAAATCTGGCCTCTCGTAGATCCAAAAATTGTGCTCAGAGAGACTAAAACTGTTCTCCGGTTGATTAAAAAAAAAATCTCAGTGGGGACCCGAGTAGAACCAAAACTAGTTTCCAATAGAGCCCGAGTAGAACCAAAGTTAGTCTTCAGAGAGAATTGGTTTCTTGAGAACACTAAAATTAGTCTCTCATCTCAAGTAGCATTGCAAGTTTTATCGAGGTTTTAAAGCATTCTACAAGTCTAAATCATGGTCTTCAGAACCCTCATAAAACCAAAATTGTTACTTGGGATGCAGACTAAAATTTGTCGCTCGTAGAGATCAAAATTGGTCTTTGAAATCGACCAAAATTTATCTCTCAAATAGACCAAAACTGTTCTCCCAGAGGGTCAAAAAATGGCATCTCAGAGGGACAACAACTGGTCTCTCGGTGATACAAAAATTGGTATCTCAGACGGAATTACCAATTAATTAATGTAGTACTTACCTGAAAGTTGTATGAACTGAACACCTCCGAAAAATAAGTCTTATGAACTTTCTCCAAGAATTCCAATGGACATCCAAAAAAAGTCGTATGAAGTCCTCCTGAAAAGTCCTATCGACATCCCCGAGAAGTCTTGTGAACATTCGCGAGAAGTCTTATGAACATTCGCGAGAAATCCTATCGGCATTCCCAAGAAGTCTTATGAACTTTCCCTGAGAGGGCCTATGGATATCATCGAGTAGTCTTATGAACTTCTTCAAGTCCTGTAGATTCCCCTGAGAAGTATTATAAAGTACATATCTGAAAATCCTATGAACTTCTCCGGGAAGTCTTATCGACATCCCCGAGAAGTCTTATGAACTTTCCCAAGAAGTTATATGGGCTCCTCTGAGCAGTCCCGTTGACTTCGTTGAGAAGCCGTTTGAAATCCCCCTATGAAGTACTTACCTGAAAGTTGTATGAACTGAACTCCCCCGAAAAGTCCTATGGCATCTCTCGATAAGTCTTTTTAACTTCTCCGAGAAGGCCAATGGACATCCCGAAAATGTCGTATGAAGTCCTCCTGAAAAGTCATCGAGAAATCTTACGAACTTCTTCGAGAAGTCCTATGGACTCCCCTGAGAAGTACATATCCGAAAGACCTATGAACTTCCCGAAAGTCCTATGGCCTCCCTTAATAAGTCTTATGAACGTTTCTGAGAAGTCCTATCGGCATCTCCGAGAAGTCCTATAAAGTTCATATCCGAAAGTCTTATGAACATTCCCGAGAAGTCTTATTATAAGTCTTATGACCTATCCCGAGAAGTCCTATCGACTTCCCCGAGAAGTCTTATGAACATCCTCGAAAAGTCCTATGGACTCCACTGAGATAAAGTACGCATCCGAAATTCCTATGATCTTATGGACTCCCTTACAATGTAAATTCGATAAAAGTCTAGACTTCCCCGAGAAGTTCTGTAGATTCCCCCGAGAAGTTAGAATTTCACCCTCCAGGTTATCAGCACACAGGTTTGTTTTGAAGTTTGAAATATTTAGAACGCCCAACAATAGACCAACCGGCTTTATCTATTTCAATTTGACTGGTCCAAATGTGTCATAAGTTTGGATCAAAAACAGACCACCACTAAAAATGCCTTTAATATTACGCGATGTCAAATCTTTACAGACTCATATGCAGCTAATATAAAGCATTAAAGCCCTATATTTGCCGTATATAAGCCTTATATTCCAAAAAAGACGAATAATCGGGCTTACTTGGGGTGTTCACCAACTGGCGAAGAAACATAGACGCTTCATAATTGAAAAGGATGATCTTCGTATAACTTTCTTTATATGGAACAGAATATTTTCAAAGTGGTATAAAACAGTCAACAACATCCCAGCCCTCTACAAATCAACATCGAAATATTTTCCGCCCCATAACGCATTCAAAACACATCCGATAGAGATCCCAAGACCGATATACCACGTTATACCAGTTGCAAAAAAAAACTGGTATAAAACGTAATAACACCGCTATTGTCCCCTCGTCGATTTCACCTTCAAAGTCGAGTTTCCTGAACCCAAATAACCATCCGAAAGCACCTTTTCCGCCCCTTCATAGATTATACCACTTCATCCGGCGGCCGGGTACGACCTGTAGCAGTTTTGAAGAGATTTTTTACAGCTCCGCTGATCCATCATCATCATCGTCATCTATTGCTTGCTATTTTATGTTCTAACCCCATTTTTTTTCCACGCTACTAAAATCGTTTTCATATAGTCATCATCTGTCTCTCTTTCTCTCTTGCTCTCTATTTGTGTTCTCAACATGATTTTTGTGTTGTCTATCCTGTGAAAAAAAAGCAGTCAAGTCTCTATTTCCACCGCGAAACCAAAATTTTGAACTAAGGAATCAAAATGAAATAAAATCAACGAAACTACTACTACTACCACTACTACTAAAAAAAAAGACCCCCGCCTCCCCCAAAAACCAAAAACAGATCGAAACCAAAAATTTCTCATCTGCTAACTGATTTTTCTCTATTTTTCTTCTCTTCTGTAGATGGTCACGCCTGATGCTCTATTTACCCTCTTTGGTATGTCCGCACACACATATTGTTTTATTACGATTATCAGTTTCCTATACAAGTTTTCATTTGTTTTACACTTTGTTTTGTTGGTTTCACTTTTGTGTACACTACCACCTTTTTTTTTTGTTTTTTGTTTGTTGAATATTTTTTTCTCACTTCGATATTTCACCACCTTTTTGACGATTCAAACCACCAGAACACAAGTTCACGCTATTGTTTACTTTTTTGTTGTTGTTGTGTTTACCCAGTATGTTTTACTTTCGTTTTGTTTTTTTTTCTTTTTTGTCTGTGTGTGAGTGTGTGTTTTCATCGCTTAATCATTGATTTTTTTTCACAGAAAAAAAAACAATAACATGCATTTGTTTTCTTATTAGTTTCCCGGTTATTGTTTTCCGATAGTTTTCCAAAACACTTTCGTTTGCGTTCTGTTTAACTTGATGATTCAAAAAATCCTCCTTTTAGCTATGTGTAAGATTTTCCGTTTCCGAAAACTTTTCAAAACAATCCAATTTTCACTGTTTTTTGTGTAGGGACCAAAGCGGAGTGTTTGCGTTTGTACGAATGTGTGTGTGTGTGTGTGTGTGTGTGTGTGCGTGAATGCGAGGGAATTGGTTCGGAAACAAAATTCCGGAGAAATATTTACCAACTTTTACAGCACACAGTTTGTCGAGCGTGGTGAACGTCAAAGGTGACAGATTGGAAAGAAAAACCGCCGAACCGTCAAGGATCGCCGCTTGGAGACCGCAAAACAAAAGAACAAAACTTGTGACTGACTGCGTGTGCCCCCCCCCCCCCCCCTCCGGTATTGTTTCGCCGCATTGAGAAAAGAAGTGATAGCGTCAACCAGCTGCTGCCACACCGGGCCTGTCAGTCAAGTGTCAAATTTTGATTCCCGCCGCCGCGTCGCGGGGTTTGAGTGTGTGTGTGTGTAGGATCATCATGGAGCGATGAGTCTAAAGAAATTGAAAAGTTTTGACACCGTCGCCGGTATTTCGGCTCTTTTCCCAGAGGAGGAACTCATTTGAATGACGACGCGATGACGAATTTCTGTTGTTATTTTTCTTTCGATGCCACCGGGAAAGTGAAAGTTGTTCTTTTCACTCAAGTCTATTCACGGAAGGTTTGCCAATCGAGGAAATGGGATTCCGCGGAATGGATGGGTTGCCCAATTTGTCCGACCGAAAGTGAGGGCGAGAGAGTTGATTTATGCGGAATGGTGTTTTGGAAGTCGCAACTTAGGGACAAATTCCGCCGAAAACGACAAAATGGTGGTAAAGTAGATTACATGGGAAATATAAATAACTTTTTTCTGGGTCATGAAATATTCAATATGCTACATAATTTATTACCAGTATCTTTTGCATTTGATTCTTAATGAAATTCTCGAACTTTTCGAGAACATAACAGGATTATTTTTTCTTATTTTTTAGAGAACAAAATACAAAAATAACATACGGCTCCGTAAAGCGAACATCATGGAGCCATAACATGTAATCATTCGAAACAGTGAGAAAACGAAAAATAATTAATATCGATAAAGAGGATCTTTTTTGAAAAAAAAAAATGTTAGTCGTAAACTGTCGGTAAAGCAGATTAGGTCACATGCAAAAAATCTAATTAGTTTCACAGTTGCTGGAAAATCGTGGACTATCTTTACCAAGACAATTTTCTTAACACATAGGGCTTAGATCTTATTTTGGTCCTAGTAAACACAACCCGCCCTTTGCCTATATTTTTTCGAGTGGATTTTTTCACAAATTGGAATGTTTTCACTGCAAATGACTTCTAAATCTATTTACCTTTCCGTACGTAACGTAAAATTTGCTAAAGAGAAACAAATTGTTGAGGTATTGTTAATAATCTAACACTGCTTCTTGACCTCAAGCTCGGCCTACGGATTCTAATTTAGGCCTAATGCATTGAAATGCCATTGAATTCACTTTGGCCTATTCGGTTGGAGCGCTTTTTTCGTTTTTTTTTCAGAAAAATTTTCATTTTTGTTTTTTGGGACTCTAAGTGTCATTTTGGCGTTTGAAATGTCGTTTTTTAAATAATCTTGGAAATATGATGGATAGGGGAAATGTAGGTAATGTCGGCCTACATGTCCCTAATTTGGGCCCATCGCTAAAAGTCTGCTATTTATCAATTTTATCTAGATGAACGCGTTATTGGGACGTTACTAATGGATATTTTTGGTTGCTATTGAAAATTTAGTTGATTGCTGAATTTATGTATGGGCCCAAATTAGGGACACTTAGGCCGACATTACCTGCATTTCCCCTATTTTGGCGTTTTTTTTTAGTTATTATTTGCGATGTTCAATCCATTTCCGTGATGTTATGGTCATTTAGGCGTTCAAAACAATAAAAAGTATCTGTAGGGTTTTGAATCTAATTTCCGTCCTACTAAGCATAAACCACACTTAACCTCTCTTTTTCGAACGGATATGAACTCAAAAATAGAGTGATTCTCCTAAAGATGACTTCCAAATTTATTTACCTTTCTATGGATTTGATAAAGAGTCACAAATTAATGAGATATTGTAAGAAATCTAACACTGCTTCTTGATTGCAAATTCGTTCTACGAGTTTCAATGTCGTCCTAACGCATTGAAACACCATTGATTTTTCTAGGTTTTTCTTCGTTCTTCGAATGAAGACAGCAAAAAGGGATTTGCTAGAACCGCTTCTTTTGTTTTGAGAACAATGAGCTTAAATATTCATACAACGCACTCGTACAGACTTGTGTTGTAGCTTTTGAGCTAACGCATCTAAACAAGCGTAGGGTAGAGCGCTGCTTCGTCGTAATCGCCCATTTCCGTTCTATCGAGCAGAAAACATCACTATAATCAATGATTTCACCGTGCACAAATCAAAAATACGTTTGTACCGATGCGTTAGTTCACAAGCTACAATACAAAGCCTATTAGAGCGTATTGTGTGAATATTTACTTTCATTGTTCTCAAAACAAAAGAAGCACTCCTAGCGAACTGGCTTTTTCTACCTTCATCCGTAGGACGAACGAAATCCAATAGCGTTTCAATGTGTAGGACGAATTTCTAATCAAGAACCAGTGTTAGATTTTTAACAATATCCCAGCAATGTGTGACTCTTTATAAAATTCAAAGGTACGAAAGGGGAACAAATTTAGAAGTCATCTTAGATAGAAACATTTCATTTATTGTTCAAGAAAGAGAGTTAAAGCGTGGTTTGTGCTTAGTAGGACGGAAATTAGATCAAAAACCCTATTATAGATTTGTGTACGGTGAAATCATGGATATTATTGATGATTTCTGCTCGATAGAATGGAAATGGGCGATTACGACGAAGTAGCGCTTTACCCTATTGACCCTTTCCGATATGAATGAAACTTTGCTCAGATGTAGGCTACATATGGTTGCATTTTTCATTATAATATTATTTATTTTCTCAAGAGTAGCTGTGGAAAAGGAAAGAGTAGATAGTGAAATGGTCTTTAAAAAAAAAATACACTGAAAGAAAATAATCAGTAAATTAATGTAAAAACTCACCTTCGATTACCCCGAGAAACGGGTAAGTCTGAGAATAAATAGTTTGTTATTTAATAATCAATCATTTAGTTGTTCAACAGAGCGTCTAACATTCGAAAAAGGCCAAAAATGTTGTAAATACAAAATTTCTATTTGATAAATTCGCAATAATTTGAGAACGGCTGGACTTAAGAAAACAATTTACACATACTTATTTGTTAACCATTTTTGGTTTTATTTTACTAAAAAATGTGCAAGTTAATTATGTTCTAAAATTTAATTTGAAAAAAAAAATCATAATAAATGATTGGCCAACACTTTCCACCAGGTTTCAGGACTTCAGCTTCTTGCACAAAATAGAAAAAATCGAAAGTCAATCCGAGAACATTGACGTTTTATTATTATTTTATCTAAATTTACTAATTTTTTTTTTCTTTCAGTATATTATTTCTCAAAGACCATTCAATTTCCTACAACTTCTTCTCAGTTGTCATTTTTATCAAATAAGTCGTTTTCTAGTTATGATTTTCTTGAAAAAAAAATAATCTTTTTCTGAATACGCCTGTTTAAAAAGTTACTCTTGAGAAAAAAAAGTATTAAATGAAAAATGCAACTTAGGGTAGTAGCCAAAGTTTCATTCAAATCGGAAACAATTATGTCCGCTACAGCGGTACCGGTGGTGTAGTGGTAAGCGTGACTGCCTCTAACCCCAAAGTAAAGCTGGTCGTCCCCGGTTCATGAGTTGAAGGGTCAATAGGTAGGGTCCAGGTGTGGGAGCAAGATCGATGGAAGACAAATCAAGGAAAATTAGATCATGCCCAGTGATTTTCTTTTCCTTTCGATTAAAAGTTTCTATTAAGACTTTGTTTAGCCTTTTCAAAGCAAATTTCGCGTGCCAAACGCATTTCCGGTGTTTCAAGGTTTTTTTAGTTTTTAAAGGCCATGTTGACTTAGTCATTTTTGGCGTAGGCCACTATGGAGATTTTTGAATTAGGGGAAATGGATGTAATGTCGGCCTAAATGCCCCTAATTTGGGCTCATACATAAATTTAGCAATCGACTAAATTTTCAATAGCGACCCAAAATATCTATTTGTACCGTCCCAATGACGCGTTCATATAGATACAATTGATAAATAGCAGATTTTTAACGATGGACCCAATCTTAGATCCATAGGCCAACATTAGAGCCATTTACCCTATGTTTATTGTTGTCCAAAATGACTCGAAAGTCTTCATCAAAATGACATCAAAACGAGCTTAAAGAACTATAAATATTCGTTGAAAACCGTCAAAGTTACTTTCAAAAGGTCAAAAGGTATTCCAAAATGGCTCGCAAATCGCCATCAAAAGACCTTAAAACAACCTTTAAATTTTAAATATGGGTTGAAATCAACCAAAGTTGGCCAAAAGGAACTCGGAAATTGCCATCGAAGACCTTACAAATTTGAAATATACATTGAAAACTACCAAAGTTGTTTTGAAAAGGCCAAAATGA